CTACGCAAGGCTGGCCGGAGCCGGGGCGGACAGACGGAGGACGAAGCGTACGGGCTTAGCCTCACGACATCTCATCATCATCATCAGCACTGTCCTGCTAATAAGTGACTCGGCGACCTCGCACGCTCTTGCGTGAGAATAGGAGGGGCCGAGGCGAGAGATAGCGTTCGCTAACGAAGGGCAGTTTCTGCTGGTGTCAGAGAACTCGGTGGACGACCTCAACCTACGACTGCGCGCCAAGGCCAGTCCGCTCCAGATGGAGGCCACCCGCTTCCGCCCCAACATCATCCTCCAGCGCACGCCGTCCCTCCCGCCCTATGCCGAGGACGCCATTGCCGGCATCATGATCGGCAACCAGGTCTTCAATGTATGCCATCAGTGTTCCCGCATTCCCGCCTTTGACCATAGGCTGACCCTCGCTCGGCTTGGGACTAGGCCTTGGGACTGTGCGGTCGGTGTCGCATCAATCAGGCCACAGGCACATTCGACAAGGAGCCCCTGCTCACTCTCGCCTCGTACCGACGGAACAGCGTACGTACCACCGTCGTGATCTTCTGCAGTGATGAGGTTTGCACACACTCAAATGTGAATTGTGATGTACAGGGAATGATCATGTTCGGCCTGCAGCTGGTGCACGACAAAGAACGATCCCCGCAACCTCACGTCGTCAGCCTTGCCGCGCCTGTGCGCATCCTTGAAGAAAGTGGGCTGTGATTAACCGCCGTCGTGCGCTGCGTCGGTTCGTGGTGATGGGGATCGAAGATTTTGACAAGATGGATGAGCTGCCGCCAGAGGTCTGGCAGTGCATGTTTCAGCACCTGCTCGAGGGGGTGGGTCCCCAGCGCTCTCTGCTCGAGGCGCTATCGTGCGCCGCCGTGTGCCGCCGTTGGCGCGCCATGGCCCATGCCGGGGTGGGAGGCGAGCTCGACCTCTTTCCCTGGCGCAAGGCGCTGGGCGATGCGCAAGTGGCCCAGGTCGCGGGGCGCTTCGTCCACCTCACGGCCCTCTCTGTCTCTCGCTGCCCGGGCGTGACCGACGCCTGCCTCCACGCCATCGCCTCCAGGTGAGTGCCCTAACTCTTGCGAACAACCCCCCCCCCTGCTGACCCTCGACCACTCGAACTGCTGTAGCGAGTGCAGGACGTCGACTGACCCGCCTTCGAGACTGCTGGCCTGTGTAGCAGG